AAAATGTGTTAATATAAATTAATACTCGGTTTGTAAATTTTGTAAAATAGAATATTGGTTTGATTTGGACTAAATAGATGAATTTTGTGATTTATCTTTCCCTTGAATCTGCAGTAATTGTTTTATCACTGTTTTGAAGCTGCTTACGGGTTTCCTAGGTGGAGTATTCAGTTATTTAATAACTGAATTACTTTTTGAAGTGTCGGACTTTTTGCTTTGAGACTATTTTATTTAAACATGCAATAATTGAGAAAAGGATCCAGGGTATAGTGGCTATATAAATGTATTAAGTGGAAAACAAGCAGAATACTAGGCATGCTAGCAAGTGGAAATCATTTTGCGGAGGGGAGGCGAAATGATTGATGAGCCTTATCTAGTATTTTTTTAAAGATAAAACTATATTCAGCACTTTTTATTTATGCTTTTTATAGTAGTAAAGCTTTTATTGACTAAATTGCCGAACCTTCATTTTCGGAGTGCATATTTCATGAAATCTGTAATCGAGGTTTACCTAACTACTTTCTCTAGATCTAGATTAGGAGTTGTCTTTAAATTTCTCACGTGCTGCAATTGCATTACTGGCTTTGAGGCTTCTGCAGTTTTGCTTGTACAACTATTCCCGCTTGGTAACGATCTGACTTGGATCACTGGTCAGCCAAGCAGAGAGCTACAGTCATTGACTAAAGGAAAAAAAAGTCATGTGATGGCTTTAGCCTTTGCTTTTTCTTCAAAAAGCTGTCCTGATTATAATTGTACTAGCTGCTTTATATCAAAACACAACCCAGATTGTGTTAATACATTACAAATTTATCTAAGTGTACAAAGTCCCTTTTCAAGGCCTTTAATCCGTCAGCCAGCAAGTCACAAGCAGGCTGGTGAGGTTTAAACCGCACTCAAGTTTTGCATTATTTAACTGCTTAAAGTGTGGGCACCTTCTATTTAAACCACAGCTGAACCAGGAATGGGGAAAAAAAAAAAAAAAAAAAAGCTGTAATCTGTAATGCAGACTTGGTTATATTGGCAATAAAGCTCATTTTGCTGATGTAGCTTACTCAAAGTAACTTGTTTAAACTGTACTAGTTAAAATAGATTTTTGCTGATTAAGAGCAGTGTTTCTAACATAAGGGTTTGTAAATGTCACTACCTGCAAATCCTCTCCAGTCTACAAAGGGCCAAAATGGAAGCTTGGAAATTAATTTGGTTTTTTTTTAAAAAAAAGTTATTCTCTAGTAGAGAGTTTAAGTTCTTAACAGCTGATGTAGTATGGAATTAAAACAGTGTACTGAATTTTTAAAAAGAGGAAAAATTCTGTTACCTATTGTTAATGCTTTGAAAACTTGTTTTAAATATTGTTGAAAACAAATATTTTTCAATCCTTTCAATAAAATCTTTTTGTAAAGTTGGATTTGTAAAGCAGCACTTTGACTGTTGAGAATATAAAATTCGGTCTCTGCAATTACTTGCTTGGAAGGCAAACGTCCAGTGTGGGTTTCGGAGATGTCTCATGGGACAGTAGCATGTGTTCTAGAAATATACCTAAGGCTTTTTTGAATGCATATGTCCGATACCAGTCTTTTCTCTAAAGTTTCAAAATAAAAGCTGGGTTTGCTGTGCAGGGTGAAACAAATCTTCAGTACAACTCGTTGGGCTACAGAACTGCTTTGTTGAAGGCACGAGAGTAGAAAAATGAGGAAATAAATAAGCACAATCTGATGTATTCTCAGATAATTTGGATACCTAGTAGTAAATTTAAGACTGAAAATGTAGTTTAAATGCCCACTCAATCCTTGCCTTTGCACGTTGTGACCAAGTTCTAGACGCTCCTTCCACGAAACTTGTGGCTAATGATTACATTGAGTCTTTTTATGTTTTCATAATTACGTTGTAAGCTGTTCCAACAGTTGTGTGCAGGTCAGATGATTGATAAATAGGGGGAAATATCTTCTGCAGGTAATACAGCTGCTTTTAAATGGAGTTATTTTGCTTTACAAGGCACCTTAGAAAGAGTTTTTCCATCTTCTCATGCCTGGCTGGTGCTGTCCATGGCCAAAACAATAAGCCACCATTTCTGTGACAGTGGCACTCTGCTGCCTGTGCAGAGAGCAGGGAAATAGCACTGCCAAGGACTGGGCCCTCGTTTTACAGATGATTCTTTTGAGAGAAGTTTATATGCTATTTGCTGCTATTATCTGTCTTGGCAGAATGAAGGCTTCTTACTATTTTCAGTTTGAACAGCCCAGTTCCAGCATTGAGAGCTGTACTCACCAGTTTGTTGAACCAGCAAAAAGTACTCTCCACCCCCACGCAGTCATTCCAAGCTGAGGTATGAGAAATTCTGGCAAAAACTCAGTTCAGCTGGGCAGATTAAAAAAAAAGGCTGTATGGATTTACCCTTGATTTTTGAGAGTTAGGAGAATTTAAAGTAGCCCGAAATAGGAAGATTTGGCCATCAACCCCGTGTGAAATAATCTTTTTCTAGTTTTACCCTGCCCTGTGGTGTGTCTACATAAGCTGAAATGGATGTTGGTACTAACATGTAGTTTAATCTAGATTGTTCACGTAGGCGTCGGGTGGCTGTATGAATTACAGCCACCCCAAGAAGTACAAAAAAACCCCCTCATCCTGCATGTGAAGGTCAACACTGCTTGTACTTGCTGCTGTTCCCTGAAATACTAAATTGAATTTAATCTCCCTTTTTGTGCAGCAGTCCTGCCTCTCAATGACAGTACCATGCTCCTTGTGCAAGATGCATAGTGAACGGGGGGGTGGTGAAATAGATATCATTTACAGGGGTATTGGGATTTGTTTTGTGAAAACACAGTTACGTTCTAAAGACAATTTGAACTAGCCATACCAATTAATGATGGGGCATGGGCTTAATGTTCTTCCTTCCCTTGTCAAATTGTCTTTCTGTGCTGTGTCCTTTAAACTTTTCAGGAATCCAGATTAGTATCAGCTGTTGCACGTGTGCACAGCAGCTTGAAGCTTTTTTTTTTAAGGGGAGTCATGAGCACAAAGAGGGGGAATAAGTTTGATCATGTGTATTGTCCTCAAAACAGAAAACCAGGAAACTATACCCAGACAAATGCAATTCAAGCTACCAGTGCTTTGTAGTGATAGGAAAATAGCACGATGATTCATTTTTTCCGTAATGCACACTGAAAAACTGAACTCAGAGGCTTGAACAAAGAACAGGGGTGGAAGATAACCATGCAAAAATGAAGCGCGTGAGTGGTTTGTTGGGGAGAAATGCATATGAAGAAGTAGCTCCTCTCCATGCTGTTTTTGAGAGACTGCTCATACAGCATGGAAAAGAAGATTGAGCAAAGGGGAAATGTTTGTGTATTATCAGGTGTTATTTAAAGAATTTGCGTAAATTACCTACAACTGAAATCTCCTTTTACGTATCATTCTGGGTAAAACTTGCTAAATGCTCTGGACAGGGGAAGTTGTTGATGACGTGTAGAGCAGTAGCTTCCCTTTGGTTATAGTGTCATTTGTTCCCATTGTTTTCCTCTTCTATTGGTGAATAACAATAAAAAATGTGATGAGTAAAAAATGTAAAAAAAAAAAAAAAAAAGTGATTGGATTTAGCTGGATTAATCTCCTGCTTTATTAGAAAATGTGAAGGTGGTTGTCTGAACCGGTTGGTTTAGAGATTGTCTATACCCAGAATTTGAGTGGCAGGGCAAAAAAATTAAGTACTTGTAGGCCAAAGATACTGTCTGCAGATTAGGGCAGGATTGTGTCCTGGGAAACTCACAGATTCAGCCTAGTAGCTCTTATCTACACAAGTATTAACTTCAAAACTTTGTGAAAAAGAACAGGCAGAGTTCCATACGGAATTTAACAAAACCTTAGTCAGGACTAAGAACATTTTTCTGTGAAAATATGAAGGTTAATTCTCCAAGGCATAACACCACCATTTCTGCTTTTGGGGAGATAACCCTTTGAATGTAATCACAACTTTTTTCCTTCTAATGATACAATTGTTTCTGCCATCCCCTTGCCATGAAGGTAAAATCTTAGCACAAGCCTCCTTTCTTCAGCCAGTTCTGCCCACGTACAGGCCTACTGCCAGATCAAAGTCTTTCCTTACTGGTCCTGCTCTTGGCAAGACCTGCTGCATGTTTGCTTGCTTTAGAAAAGGATCGAATATGCTTAATTGTGTTCCTCCATTTCAGCAACAATTCATAGTCACATTTTGATTTGTGGAATGAATTTAGAGCCATCAGCTGGTGCTCTCGTGCTTTCTCTTGATATTGTCAGCTGTATGCAGTCTGACCACAGACATTTAACCTCTTCGTGCCTCCATTGTGCTGTTTATAAATATTTGTTTCAGGTTTAGAAGACTAGGATGAGAAAATTATGGAAATTTTTGAGATCATCCTTGTAAATTTCCCTAATAAGCTTCAATAAAGTATTTTAATTACTTTTTGCAGCGTACAGATACCTGCAGGTTAAAGATGTGTCTGAAGAGGACTGTGATGGCAAAGTTCACAGCAGGTGTGAGTTGCAGTTCCAGCTTCTTCTGGACTCAAGTTTGTAAACAGGCTTCCCATTGAACTCGTGCTGTTGATAGGAGAAATAATTATCCATGCACAAACGGTGTTTATACTTTATTAAAAAATAGAAAAGACAGTAGTTAGAGATTCCAATCCGTAAAATACCAAACTTTTAAATTAAAATATTGAAGGCTTGTTTTAACAAGTCACCCTGGTGTATGGAATGGCGCATGGGTTAGATACGTTGTAGGAAGGCATGAGATCACATTGAGGATCAGGACAAGATGTCCAAAAGCACAATTCCGACTCCTTTGATTTATTAACAAACCCAGTGCTGTGTATCCCAAAGCCAGGCAGGTTACAGATGGCCTGGCCAGTTTTGGTGCAGTTAGTTTAAGTTCTATCAGTTTGCCTGTTTAGGCTGCAGAGGATTGTTTAGCGGCTGCTATATAGAGTCAAAGTGCAGTTTATTTCCTTTTTTTTTTTTTTTTTTCCCCTGTCAGATAAAAGATGCTAAAAAGGATTGGTCTGGAGAAGTTACAGCTATTACAGATCTCTCTGGCACAGAGGAGTCTTGCACTGCATGGCTGTGCCCTCATTTGCTGGTCACTCTTGCATGTTGATTGTTATCGGGCAAAACCAGGAGACCTGGCTATTTTGAAGTTGTTCTGTTACTCTTGCGTTGGAAGCCACCACCTGTACTTTTCTTCCAAACTGCAGCACAAGGAAGGCACAGCCACCAAGGACAGTGTGTGGTCCTTCTCTGCTTTGCCAGATCAAAGAGGCCTGTGAATAATTGGAAGAGCCTGATCTGACTGCACACTTTAATAACCAGAACCCCAAGGACTCGGATGGCTGCAGCCACTGGACTTTTATCGGTATCTGGAGACTATTTATGTAAAGTATGAGACATGCTGGCTGCTATCAGCATTTGAGCCCTTCCTGTGATGAACAATTTGCTTTGCCCTTGCCCTTCTTCTTCCTCACCTCCTTCCACACGTGTTGTGGGAGGTGCTGGGGTGCCCCAGTGATAAGTGATTTATTGCTATTATAGTGCCAAAAAAATGCCTGACGCTGGAGTTTGTTGGGTTTGCACTATCTCTTGTTTTGGCTACATCGGGATCGACAAGTGGGGGTGATGCCTAAGAAATTCTTTAAAATACAACGACTTGAGGCCCTGCAGATAGTCAAATGCTCTGGCATCACTTGAGACTTCTTGTGAAGGAGGGGGAGGCATTTTTGAGGAACTGTGTATTTTATACTGGAAGATTTTCTTGCATCTTTCCCTAATCATTCTGGAGGCTTTGCCAGTTGCAGAGACTTCCAGGGCCTCTCCCCCTAACTAATCAGTTCAAGAACAATTTGACATGGTTCCTGTCTTGAAAAGTTAATCCTGAAGAGGTGGGATGTGCCTGCTGCTCTCACTGATTCCAACGGGAGCCACAACAAAGGGGTTGCTCAGGAATGAGGCACCAGTTTGGGGCCCAGGGATCCAGGAATGAAGAGGAGGCCTCCAGCCCCGCGCCCCAGTATCGAGCAAGTAAGTTGGACGAATTACCGTGTAAAGCAGGTAGATGAGATAAACTACTTCAGGTACATTCTGACTCAGAAAAATCCACACTAGAGGTTTCAGCTCTTTTAAAATCTGTAAAATAAGATGAGATACATATACAGCTTTATAACTCGTTGTTATATACTCTATCAAGGCTAAGAGTTGATTTTTCAATAGCATTTTCAAGTGTCGGTCTAGCTGAGTTCTCAGTGCTCAGTTCTAACTGTGTTCTCCACCTGCCTTCTCTAACTACATTTTTTTAGGAGGAAATAAGGTCTCTGTTTGTCACAGAACCGGGCCAGGAGTGATGCTGATGAAATCTGAACAGGTTGTTTCATGGGCACATCTTGACAGTTAGGTGTGATCTGAGCCATCTGTGCATCCACTTGAGCTCTGCCTTCCAATACACTACAACTCCCAACTAGCTTACATGGAGAAGCAGCTGACCCTTTGGAGTTGTAGCTAAGCTGATGTACTTTCTCTTTGGGTACGCTCAGATTTTTCTCTAACAAATTAATGTGTTCACAGCTAACAGACTGAAAGCACTCTGTGACATTTTTCCCTGCCTTTGTTTCTACTACAGAGAACTAAAACGTGGGAGAAGCAAGAGGGTTGAGCTGTCAGAAAAACTTTGTTTTACAGTTAACCTTGGGACTTGGGAAAGAAGAAAGGATGGATGGACGGACTGCTTCCCAGCAGGTAGCAACTTTCAGCAGCCCTGAACTGGAAGGGCAGGTCTGAGCAAACTAAAGAAAAACAGCTGAGTCACTGGGAATGAAAGTGGTGATTGCACCAATCCTATGATAAGATTTGATGCATCTGATTAACCACAGATTCCCCCCAAAACCAATACTGATTCTTCTGCAAGGGTCAATATATGAACCACTACAAAGCATTAAGGGAACTGTCCCTCCTCTAAGGGAGTTTGTCTCCTCTCTGCCTCCTCTACTCTTGTGTCTGTTTTCTGTGGTGGTGCATAGTGCTCCTCTTAGGATAAGACCAAAAGGGAAAAGAAAACAAAGGCTGAGAAACAAGAGCAGAGGGAAAGAGAGAATTAGTATTGAAAGGGAGAAAAGAGAGAAAATAAGCAATGGAGATAGTAAAAATAAATCCACTAAAGTCAATGGGAGAGCATGTATACAAACAGAAGAAAAATAATGCATCATCCCCTTGTGAAATGGCATGTGCCTTAGCCCAGAAATAAGGGAGCGTGACGTTTCGCTGTGCTTTCAGGCACTGTGGTTACCAGAAAGGACTGTGTATGAGGCACTTCCAAGTTTTCCCTTCTCTTATGCTTATACTTTCTGGTGGATTATGTACGTCTCCATGCTGTTCTTACATAACCCCCTCATAGGAGGAGCAGTTTCTGAGCACACCAGACAAGACAGTGATACGTGGTTCTCTACTGCCGCATCATCTGCAAGAAGCTGATTATGAAAAACTTGTCTGAACAGGGTAAGGAAAAAGAGTTCCTGTTGCCACCCCTCTGTCAAACTGCCTACGTGCTCTAGCCTGAGACAGAATCGTTTCTACCTTGGATGCAAAGCTACAAGGCTCTCGCCAAACGTATCTACCGTTTCGAAGCTGCTGTTGCCCTGCAGTGCTGCCACTTACTGAAATACAGCACTAAATCTTTTTCATTAATTTTATTACATTTCCTGTTTCTTATTCAGGCAAGAAGCTGTTAACTTCTCCCAGTAGAGAACTCAGAAATGTTTTACCCTTCATGGGGTTAAAAGTAGCTTTTCAGTAGTACCAACACAGTTGTGAGAGAATGGCAAGAATATGTACCTATCCCTAGGACATTTATTCTTACTAGCTGAACTATTAAGAAACACATTTGGTATTGATGAAAGCATAAGGGTATCATGTATGTTAAGACATGAGACCATCTAACTGAGGCACCTTTTTGTCTTAACAGTGACTCTTAATGCCTAAAGGCAAATCCGGGGGAAGCGAAAAACTAAATCTGTGAATGGCAACTGGTTGGATCAACTTTGTTTCTGATGGTGGGGGAAAAGGAGCTGGGAAGTTTACACTTTTAATCCTAGCAGGAAAACAAACAGGGTTCCGATTACTCCCTGCTTTCTACACCTGATACAATTTAACTGCAAGCAAAGATCCAGTGCCTCACAGAGGTGTATAAGGAGCTCCCTGGAGGAAAGCAAGCTATTTTATATCCCCATCTGCATTCCCAAGTGTCACACTAACAGTCCTGTCTCTATTTTTCCCTGCTGGATAGCTGTCAGTGACCACAGCACCCCAAAGACCAGGAGAAAGGTGATTCTGTGCAGCTCTTCACCTAAAGTTACTGAAGTATTTTAAAAGCACCGTGCTTGGTGCCAGTTCCATTTTTAGCAAGGAAAACAATCAAAACACTTGAAAAGGTCTATTTCAGTGGTCAGGAATTTATCTGAATGGCTAAAGCAAACACTCAGGGAGCCTAAACAGCCAACAAACCCCCTGAAGTCCTTCCTGGTAATAAGACGTATGCTATGCACTTTGGCCCTGATTCTGCAATCATTCTTGGAACAGAGCTCTCAAGATTTCAGAGGACGTTCAGCCTGACCGACATGAAAAAGTACATTTCAAGTTCACACCTCCTTATGTGAACCTGAAAACTGTCACTCACCTTTAAAGAAGCTGCCCCCATAAAGCACCACTCATCTTTTTGGTTTCCTGAGGATATAAGGCCTGTGCAGTCTCACTGTATCTGTACTTTCATAATAATTTGGAGGACTGTTGCCAGTTTCACCTAACCTCCTCAGAGATGTGAAAATACCGAAGATACTGTGGGCCTATAGGTTTCATTCAAGTAGGTGATCAGGGACTGAGAATAAAAGAGTGTCCCTCAGACACGAACAATTGATGGTGTGATGTTGTTTCATCCTGCATGCTCACCGAGACACGCAGATTTATAAGAAACCTGACTTCATTATTGTTGGTGCTCTTGTTTTCTGCTGGGATCCATTCTGGCTCCCTTCCACTTAGTGGTATTACATAGAATGGGGTGGCTGTGACTTCCCAGCCTGTGCTAATTGCTCAGGGTGAGAACATGTAGTCTCAGAAGTTGGCTATCCTTGCTACTGTCACTGTTAGCTTAACGCTTACTGCGATGATGCTAATGGTCACCTTCAGGCAGGCCCAAAGAACCCCTGTTGCTGAGATGATGTTATGTAGAAGGGTGATGTCATGCAGGCTTATCAGCAGAATACACAAGCAGAGCTGAAAAAGAAGAGGCAAAGAGTTGGTAAAATTATTAGCTTGAGAACGTACAGCCCACCAAAAAGTACAGACACAAACTCCCGCCAACAGTAAGCTGGGCCCAGGTCTAAAGGCTAAATTTTTTCCTCAGCATCTGACAGACAGTACAAAAAGGGACGCAAAGGACAGACCTACTTCCCTGTAGGCCATGTTAGCAACAACAAAGCACAGCAAAGGCAGGAAGATGTGCTCCAGATAAAGCATAAGGTAAGACAGCAGTAAAGCAAGAATGAGGGGTAGTGTACAGAGGCACAAACGCTTTCAAAAAAGTTCTTGGGTTCACTTCACCGATCTGTAACTTCAGGCTGCTGCCTCCCCCCGACTGCCCTGCTAGGTCAGGCTCCCCTCTCCCACCCCAGTATCGTTTTCTCAAATGTAGGAGGGGCTGGGATGGCTGGAGAGCGAGACACTGCAGGCTGAGATGGTGTGCAGTGATAACCTTGCTCCTTTTAGTTGGGCTGGAGCTTCTGGATGCGATTGTTTCTATGGAGAAACTTCCCACAAGTTTCAGTTCTCCTTTTGAACAACAGGACAATGATAAAATACATAGATTCATTTTAATGGATTTTAACTAAGCTTCCCTGTAGCAAACACCTCGAGAGATGACCATTATTAAGCTAATCTTACCTAAAAGGTAGGATACAGGCAGGATTGCTCTAGTGAGTTTATAGTTCAGCTCAGCTAGTCTGAAATATTCTCAATAGGAGAGAAAAAAGGGAACCCAGGGGGAAAGATTTCTCTACCTGTGCCTGAAGATCAAAGGTCAACATGGAAAAACAGAGGTTCAGCATGAAGTATTGTGACTCCAGGCTTTCTAGAGCACCACCCACTCAAAAGGCCATCATGCTTTGACTCTGAATGAGGATGATGGCACAGATCACATCAAAGGAGCCAACCAAGAGGATCAGAATGAAGCGGGCCCGATGGGAAAGAGAAATAAGGATGTGACTGGCCTTGCCAATACAGGGACAGTCTTTAACCTTGAATCTTTTAACTGGAAATAAAAGAAGAAAGGAATAAGGAGAACCAGGCAGCCTATTAATAGCATTTTAAGAGAAACATAACCTTTGTACTCCCTGTAATGCCATGACAACTTTTAGCAAGGTTCTGTTAGAGATTTATCGTATGAAGAAAGAGATTTCTTTGATAGAGACTGGCTCTAAGCTTCCTGTATGGTGTAAACCAACTGCTAAGAACCTTCCTCACCGCTTTCGATGGGGACGGTGTGTTATTCTACTTACTAAACTCCAGAAAACACTGGTTCTGTCAGCCACACTTTGCTGGCATTCACACTAAATATCTGCTGCTTTAAAGATGGCTGGAGTGGCAAAACATCCTTCCTAATTACACTGATATGAGAATATTTATATTAGTATGCCTTAGTCTGGCTCAGAAATTTTGCTAAGGTAACCCAAGTTACTTTTACAGTAGTAAGAAAAAAAAAATCCTTAATAGTACATCTTCTACATCAGACTTTACTATGAGGTTCTTGTCTAATCTATAAGCTGATGACTGGGGTGCATACCTTCAAGTAATTTGCATCTCTTTGATGCCTGTCCTTTACTGACCCTAATAACCCAGTTTGCCGTAGATAAATATGTTTAACTAAATGTACAATCGATATGTAAATTGAATAGGCAAAATTTTGCTTTGCTGCATCTTCCTAGTTTGGTTGCTGTCCCTTCTATGAAAAAATAATTTTTTGGGTGGCTTCACAGCCAGGAAGCACCTTCTCACATTAGTGATAAACGTGCAGCCACAAAAGAGAAGGTCTTCTGAGAGGCACGGCAAGCGGAAGTTTAACTACAAAATCTTCGTAACACATAGAATACAATCCTTGTATTAATTTTCTTACGAAATGCAAACAAGATAATCTGGAATGGCAGTACTTTCCCTAGCACACTGTCTTTTTGTTTCCTTGCAGCAGGTTACTGTTACTCATAAAAACACATGGCTGCATTGTGGGGCTAAGGGAGATTCCAGTTAGATTTATGTGACCTTAGGCCAGTCGTTTTACAGACAGAAATCTGAAGCAGAGTAGGTGAAGTGAGGGATGTCTTCTGCAGTAATCCTGTGTGAGTAGATTCTTTGATATTTAATGTTATTTTCCGATACTGAAAGATACATAAAAATACATGAAGAAACCACGGAACAGCTCAGAGAAACAAATCTGCAATTGTGGAGGTGCACGTTTTGTTACTCAATGGTAGGAATAATTCAGCCCGTTTTTTTCTCTGTTATCAGTGCCCTTATCACAGATGCCTTGCATTTCTAACATTTTCAAATCCAAGATGTGGGGAAAAGAAAAGTTAAAACCAGGAGACTAACCAGGAGTTTTGGCTTTTGCTCAGCAGAGAGAACTGTGAAGTTGACAATGGAACGGAACATCACTAGCAAGATGGAAAGAACAAAAGACGATGAGCTGCTGGCGATTCTCCTGCAGGATTCCTCTACTCACATAGTATACACAGAACACTGGGGAGGAGAAGGAAAGGTCAGTTATCAGGTGAACAGACTGCACAAGGTGCAGCTTTTCACTATGCTGGGTCCAGATGACAAAATGAAAGTCAAGACCGTGTAATGTAGGCTCCTTGGTCAAGAGCGTGTCTTTATTCTTACCAGGGAGTCTCAATCAGTTACTTAAAATGAGTACTCTCCCCTCTTAGCACACAAGAAATTAAATAATTTGTTAGATTTTAAAATGACTCGTGAAGTAACACTTTGAAAAGGGCAACGTATCAGCTACCCAAATGAACTGGCAGCTGTGGTATGTTATTCTGTTAATACTATATTGAACATTACGTTGAACGGTGCATTTGACTTAAATGAAGCAACACCATCTTTATTAAAGAACTGAAATCACATAATCTTCCCGGTGAGAGTAATTCAAGTGACTAACAAGCAATTTACTACTCGTACACATACCTCGACTGTATTGTTTGTGTGGTTCTGACCACTACAAATGGCTTGTGCGTTGAACGGAACTTAAGACTGGATTCCTAACAGTTTATTTTTGTTGCGGAGAGTTTGAAACACCCCACCCCTGCAAACTATAGTCCAGAAAAGAACTGGTTCAGGATGATGTTATGTAGAAGGGTGACGTCATTATGAAATACATCAAAACCCACCACTCTTAACACCACAGCTAGCAGTCAGTGTTGAACTCTACACTGGTTTGACAAAGCTGAAATAAGGAAAAGGCTTTCCCTCCATAAAAACGGGGATCAGTGCTTTGTTCTTCTATAGGATTCTCCTGCAAACACTAGTTAATTCTCACCATAGACCAGGTAACAATAGATTTCTTTTTTCCAAATGGCTACTTCCTGGATTCTGCAATTAAATCATCGAGTTTTGCTAAGCTGGGGCATGTGGACAAAGTATCATAGAAGTTTTCCAAGTAATGTAATAACTTCAGTCTCTCTAAACAAACCTAGTGAATGAACTTCCTTTTTCACTTTGATTAGCAGTGATTGAGAAAACTGACAATGACTGGCAAATTACAAAGTGACTCATGGGACTTTTTTGGCACGCTTATGAACTCAGGAAGACCTGAAAGATTTAAGACAGTGTTTCCTTGTTTTGCAAATACGGCTTCTAAATCAGAAGTCGTCTGTACGAATAATTTGAAAACAAACTTTTTTCTGAGCATTACGATTGATGCAGCGATAGCGTATGTGCATTTCTGAAATAAAGGACATCCTCCTGGTTTTGGTAAGTGAACATTTTTCAACAAATTAAATCCCAAACGCTCTTTAAAGTTAATATGTCTAGTGGTAAATCCAAGAGATTGTTACAGCCGGGGCATCTGTTTTTCTTTAAAGGACTATTATCAGTTCTGTCAGTCTTTGTCTACCCTATAAAACCCATCGTTTTGGCATGGTTAGCTTACACATCTTTAAATCTCAAGGTAAGCCAATCATTGTTTTAACATGTTCCTTGTATGATGTTCTCTTTACTGCCTAATATGTTGAAACAACAACTTTTGTTTACATTAAAACTTTGAAATCTGAAGTCATGTGTTAAAAATAGACTGGGGTTCTTTTTCCTGATTTAAACCAGAGGTTTGTGAGAGGTGTGCACTTCTTCCCGCGTGTGTGCGGCAGCACAGAATACTAATCAGTATCAACAGAAGGTAGGAGGGGGAAAAATAGATTAGCAAGCATGCTTTCAACTTCCCTGTTTTATAACACCATGTGATTCATTTGGTTTATTATGAAGGTTCTTCATTTTTCTCTGAAGCACAAAACAGTGGTTGCTAACAAAAACAGTGTGACAGATTGGAAGTGCCAATGGCCTGTTCTAACATTGCAATTTTTGTGGGTATGCTGAGTCCTGTGTGAAAAGCTGCTAATCAAACCAGAGTTTTGGACTAAAGGTATTGTTTGTACGGGTCTAATTATAGAATCTAGAACAAATCTATTGTCTTTGTTCCCTCTGGGTGAAAGCTGGAAAGCAATGACTGCTTATGATTAGCACGTCCTTCTCGTACACAAGGTGTTACACCCACAGAGATTCTATTCTCTTCTACGCTGTTTGGGCCAGCGAGCCAACAGCCAAGACCTGCTAAAGCCACTGAAGAGGACTTCCTAAAACACTTAGTTTTATTTATTTTCACGTTAGGTTTCATTTCTATGGACCCGGCAATATGAACCTAAGTTTCTACTGAAGCTCTAATTGGAAATATGCAAGAAAATTTGAATTTTGCTTCCTGTAGGACAAAAAAAAAAAAAAAAGCGCACTTTAAAAAAAATAAATGAGGTCCTTATTGTCTTTTATTAACATATTTCAGGTAAAGCAACATCCTTGCAGAAACTTAACACAGAGAGGTGACAAGATGTTTTCTTATTTCAGATCAAACTGCGTGTATGTTTGGTTTCTTGCAATGTAAGAAGGTGCCTCGAAACCAACTACAACTTGGGTATAAGCGTGGCTCGTGTCAGGAGATGTCTTGTGACAAGCCTTGGAGTGTGGACACTCTGAATTCCCCAATATATGATGACACAGACATTAAACTGGGAGACGGGAAGCCCTTTCTGGCATAGCTGAACATTCAGTACATCTTACAGAAAGCGACATCTGTCTGAAGCAAAATCATTGATATATCTGCCAGTAAGAGAGCCAGTTATAGCAAACCTCCAAAAACCTGAATATTTTTTCACACTATTCACACATGAAGATATTTTGGATGACACCATATCTATTACTGATCCTTTCCCTAAAATACTACTGGGAAAAGCAACAGTGGCAAAAGCCATCTAAGCTTGTTACTGCTAAACTAACAGAAGATTCTGTGTGTAACACATCAGGCCTAATGGAGTGAAATAAGAAACTTCAGTCACTGGTGAATTACTACCTTGGGAAAAAATTTATTTGTTTTAAAATGCAAACAGTATGTTTCTTACCAACTCCTACTAACTGAATAAGAGAAATGGTGAAATTTTCCTCAGTTTGTCGAACGAGTGTCTCTATGGTTAGCCCTATTACACTTAGCAGAGACAGAATAGTGACACAGAAGTAGATCTTCACAGGAAATGATAGCTCTGAATAAGGCTTTATCTGTAAAGGAAAAAAATTTTTAAACACGTAATGCAGTATAAACTAGTTGCTATTCCTAAGAAATGCATTAAAGCAAGTCAGCTCAATGACTCAAGTGCAGGCTTTTCCTTGGAAAAAGGAAGAGAAACTCCGCAGTTGAACTGATCCTCCAAAATTACTGAGGAAGGGAGAAGGCTTAACTTTATTTCATAATTAACCTCAGCCTAGATTTTTCTGGTTTATACCTGCAGACTGCCTTCTACTTTTCTTAGTGCCTCAGGGGCCAGGGTGTTATAATTTAATCTCCTGAAACTGAGACTGCCAACGCTCATGTCTGTGCCTATCAAAACACAGCCACGTTCAGCAAGTAACTTTTTTTTTTTTTTTTTCCCCTCAGTGCCCCTTATCGAGGCTTTTAGTTTCAGAAAACTAAAGAAAGGTTCACTCTTCTGAGCAACGTGCAGAGGATTTGGGGGAGGATTTTTTTTTTTCCATTCATCCCAGGCAGTTTAAATCGTGGAAACAGATAAACTGCACCAGGCTAGCAAAAAAAAAAAACAAACAAAAAAAAAAACCTTAACTTTCTTGTGATGTTGGTGGTAAAGAAAAGAAATTCTTCCTCAGGAGAGGCGTGGAACTGGGGAGTCACCTGTTGGTCGGGCTGAGCTAGGTCGCAGTTGCTACACCACATCGTACGTATTTTTAAAGATTTTGGGAACATTTCTCGTCATTTCTGTACATGCAGGAGCTTGTGACGAGCTACAGATTCGCTGTTTGAAAGCGCAGCTTGCTTTAAGCAAAACCAAAGCTCTGAAACAAGGGAGCGCTCCCCGGGCAGCGCTGAGGCTCCGCCAGGTGCGGCCCCGGCTGCAAAGGGCCACAAATCCCCTTCGCCCCCCGCTTCTCCTCCGGGGGCCGCAGCGGGAGAAGGCGGCCGGTACCGGGGGAAGCAAAAGGCCCTTCCCGGAGCAGCTAGGCCGAGGGGGGGTTTGCTGTCGGCGGGGAGCGGGTGTACTCACGGGGCCGCAGGGCGTGGGGACGAGCCCCCGGTGCCGGGGGGTGAGGGTGGGCAGCGGGGGGGCTGCAGACTGGTTATATTGAAGTCTGGCTATATTGTTGGCTTTCTTATTTTTGACAATTTCTTAAAAATTGGGGTTAGAACTGCAGTTTCTCAGGAAAAGAAAGTTTCAGTGAATGCTGTTACGAGGATTTTCAACATACGTCAGTGATAATCTCGTTGAAACAATTTAATATCCGAGTAGGTTTTATCTCTTGCATTTTTTAATCAAATATGGCTCTGAAAGGCCTCTTAATTTTCTCCCTCTATGCTTACTTTTAAAGAAGATGATGAGGTGGTGTTAGTGTTGGGTCAAGACAGTTCAGCTGTCTGCCCTCATACAGGCTGTAACTCAGTCGCAGAAAAGCTCGGGGTGGGGGGGCAGGTGTGGGGAATGTGTCAGGGCCCCGCTGTAACCTTGCTGAGCCCTTGCAACTGGATTTTCATCAGCTGCTTCACCCCTCACCTCTCTGCAGTTGTGGAGGAAGGGGGATGTGACACAGATCTCCCCTTCACCTGAGGAGGAAAACTGATTTTCCTCTCTTTTAAATTTTGTTAGAAACCGCTGTGACGTGTTACAAGAGTTCAGTTTCTTGATTTTTTTTTTTTTTCTTTTATTCATTTGACTTCAGTGTGGAATGTTATAGTTTCTTTGGAAAACGTTTTTTATGAAACAACTAATGCAAAAAATGTGATGTGTTCTTGTTAACTTCTGTTGCTTCAGCATTTAGGGGTTTTTTTGCAAAACTTGGTGTTTCTTTTCTTCTGTGACCTGTAGAAAACAATGCACGTAGACATACTGCTTTTACGGCGATGAGGTTAGACTGTACTGGTGTGAATTAAGCGTAGCTGATGTTTATGGATTAAGAGTAGGTGATACGTATACTCTTGGTTCAGATTAAGACTGACTTTTTCCCAGCAGCCTTAAAATTTCAGGGGAGAGCAGTTTCCCTGGTTTGATCTATCACATGTCCACCAAAACATTTGTTGTAGTTGGAGCGAGCAAAGGGGCTGGTATTTATTTCAGAAGCTGGGAGCTGGTGCTAACTCGAAATGTTCGTTA